TATATATATATATAGATACATAGAAGGGTTCTGGATGGAGCCACCTTTGTCTGTTTTTTGTCTAGCTTATGTTGATATGTGACATGTTTATCTACCTCATGTTGTGTTTATGACATCCGGCAAACTTGCAGAAAAGGGTCTACGTCAGTCGGGGCTTGGGCTCGCAAATAGAGCCACAAGAACCAACAGTGAACTGCTTGCCAGATAAGAACTTAAGTTGCGAACTCAGAGTTCAGGGTTCAGGGTTTTGCGCAGCACCGGTGTCCAGATAAACAAGAGAAGTGAACCCTGAACCCAAAACCCGAATGGGTCAAAGATGCGCCGGTGTGTTGTTTTTTTTTTTTTTCCATTCTGCTTTCTATGGAGAGTCTCTGCAGCGTTGTGCTGGGAGCCATGGCCTCGACTGGCAGCCCTGCAGAATTCCGGCTTACGGTTTAGGTTCAGCAGGGAATTATCCACACTGCCATGAGGGAAAACTCACCCAGCACCGCAGGGGTCAAAAAAAGGCGTCAAACCCTGGGCAGGACCATTGGGGTGGTACTGCTCTCGAAGATGCCATTCAGAACAACCACTCGGCCGCGGCCTTGTGCTGGGTCAAAGTCCGAAGGTTGAAACTATTCACCAGTTTTCTCAGCACTCCAAGTGATGGTGAGTTCCATAGATCTTCAGACTGTTGTTTGCAGCAGTCGTCGTCATGCAGGTGGTCGTCGCAGTCGTCGTAGCAGCAACAGTAGCTGCAATAGCAGTAGCTAAAGCTGTAGCAGCGGTGCACAAGGTTGGGGCCCTTGGGGCCCAGGTCAGGGCCGCGGGGTCGCTCCAATCTAGTTCTGCAGGTTAGACTTAGAGTTCGAGGACAAACCTTGTCTGGCCTGTGGTTCTGATGAATACCCAAAAAGCTTTACAGGTGGTAGGATGGTGTGCATGGTGTTTCAGGGACGGTGACAGTGCCGAAGAAGGGGAAGAAGCATCCTGCGACTGAGAGTGCTGTTACAGCCAGCACTGGCCTTGGCGCTCGTACCACAAATCAGAACAATGACTGGAGCATTGAGACACAGATCGCGATCAGTTTGAGTTCATCATGTTTGCACTTGCGGGGTCGTGGCATGGTATAGAGCATGTTTGGCGATGCAAAGTAGTCGGCAAAACGAACCTGCTCCACTACGCAGGTCTGAGTCTGGGTCATAGAGCCAAAGCACAACAGCGGAAACGCAGAGCCAAAAGGGACCTTGTGGTTTGTCCACTGTGGTATATAACCAAATCTTTCTACGAGTGCGATGTGCTGCGAGGGATCTGGCCGGGCGAGCTCAGTTCAAGCCTGGGGAAAAAGTTATGGAATCACACGAGAGTGAAAGCCGCTAAGCAATTCACGGGTCTGGAGTCGATAGGTGCCTGTTCCATGTGCGGGATTGCTTGAGGCACGTGCAGAGAACGTGAGGTTTACCTAGCTGTCTATCGTTCCATTGTGCTGAAAGGTGTGCAGCGAACGTCAAGCCCGAAACAAGTACGATTCTCGTCTAAGGTTGCCGCGCAATTGATCTTCTCGAAGAAGGGTGGACTGCGGCAGGTCCCGGATGGATCTGGGCCGTACGTAGAGTTCCAGTCGAGTTTAGCAGCATGTGAAGGCCTCAAGATGTACAATCTGGGAGAGAGACAGAGAGTCAAAGCGCGTTCAGGCTTTAGGGCTCCCCTGCGCGTGACGTTGCAAGCCAGTTGCACAAAGGGTCGAAAGTAGGATTCAGCGGTGGAGGCCTGATGGGAAAGCGCTTCCAAGCCCCAGTTCTACCGTGGCCAGGGCCGATGGCCTTACCGTTGTCAAGATTTCAACCCGAAGACTGAACCCTGTAGACCTGAAGCCCCCGCAGTAGACTTGTTCAACTCGAAACCTAAACCTATATTCTTTCATCCCTCAACCCTAAAGCTTAGAATGATGCACCCGAAGTGCAGCAATCTCTGCAGGAGCTTGCAGCTGGATGGCTTTGTGACGCTGCCTCCGCAGGAAACATCCTCAAGCCTTCTACCTGCATTCCTACATACTTCAGTCTGGGCACAGAGGAATTCGAGGGAGGAGTCATGTTAGGAATTAATGTCCTTGAAGCTTGGTTGTGACTTCCCAAACTACCCAGAATAGAAGGGAGGTTTGGGGTTTGTGGGTGTTTATTCACACCTCTCCAAAAGCGCAGCCGCCACAGAGCGCTTGTCCGAGCGGCTCTGTGGAACTTTCGTAGCAGGACGAATTCTGAAGCTGAATCGCTTACATTCTGAATTGGCGTGGTTATGTGTCTTTGACTTTGATATGCTGGAACGCTTGTTGGCCACACCAGAAGCCAGCTAAGCAGTAAGACCCAGCCCCTAAATCGTTCCATACTCTGAGTCCTCAACCATACACCGGCCGGAGCAGTCAAACCTGGCGAGGTTGCAGCAGCTTATCGAAAACTCCGTGGACGTGAATATCAGCGACTACGACGCACGGACGGCACTCCACCTTGCTGCCACCGAAGGTCTCGCAGGGTGTGAGATTTCAGAAACCCCACACCCTGAGATTCACCTGGCTAGACCGAGTTTGACTGCCGTAGCCTGTGGATTCAGCTTGAAGTGCCGAGCATCGGTGGAACACCACGCGAAGCGGACCCAGACCGCGCTGCCACGAGCACAGATCAGACCCAAAGGTGTGGTCTGGCATTACTCTACACATGTACATGTTGTGGTCTTCGGCTCATCGCCTCTACTCCAAATCCCAATGCCTCGAAGCTTCAAGGCCCAAAGTCTTGAAAACCGGCAGGTCAGCTCCTGGCTGTGAGCTTCCTGATCAGCTCTGCTCGTGCTTCTTGGTCCTGCAGTGCTTTGCTGGGTGTAGCGGGGCTATGCTTCCTCCCGGTTTCGGGCGCCTCGTACGGCGTCTGACCGGTAGATGCATCCTCGTGCTGTCTCGCACCTTCGTTGGCTCCAGCTTGTTTGCAAGCGGACACTGTGGCAACAGCACCTCCAGTGACAGCCTAGCAGCACTTGTTAGGCTGACGCCCGGTGTTTCAAGACTTCGGGGCTCGCAAATCTCCGTAGCAGTTCCTACAGGCGGTGTGGATTGAGCAATTTGCGGTAACAGTCACACGGCAGGCTTGAAAAGCGCTGAAGCTAGCACTCACAGCTCTGCTCTCGATGGCACCTCAAGCCCAACACGAACAAAACGGATATTCCTAAACCCTATACTATACTATGCTAGAAACTATGAACCCATACTATCTAGAGTCTCACCAAAGAGTTCAAACCCTAAACCCTTGTCTGTCCCATTGCGGCCATGGCCTTGGAAGCTGGTCTGGTTCAAGCCTTGAAGGCTTTCTCGACCCCAAAGCATGGGGCTCAGTACACACATCTATATAAGTAAATATACAGACATATAAATATAAATATACATATACATATAAATATAAACATACATAATATGTATAACAAAATATAAATAAATATAAATATAAATATAAATATAAATATAAATATAAATATAAATATAAATATAAATATAAATATATATATATATATATCCACCGATGCTGTTTGTAGCATATGATTGGGCATTTATCGGGAGGAAGAGTCACTTGTCGATACACATGCAGCTTAGGATTTGTTGGGGTTCAGAAGAGGTGCTGTTATTCCCCGGCAATTGCTCTAATATCCTATGGCGCCTCAATGGTTGCTGGTCCAAGGGCGCGAAACCCTGGCAACTCACGTACTACAGGGTTCTGAATATCAATTTTCATATCTAGTAATGCAATACTATCCTCCTACACCATACCCCAAGACCACGAACCGCCGCCCCGACCTTACGCTTAACCCGAAACCCTCCGAACCTGGGCGCGGCCAGGCTTGTCCGAGTTTGAGTCCTGAAACCCTCTGAACCCCTTAAGCCCTTGAAATCCTTTGAACCCTTTAAACAGTAGACCCCAGGCCTCCTACAGCGAATCCCGGAAAGTTGGAGCATGGGTTTAGGAGGATTATTGCTCGGATCCCTTGGACTTGACCTCCAGGGCCTGAGGATAATCATGTTCCAACTTTCTAGCTTCTACTATAAAACATGCCTGACGTACCTGAGGTGGTGGGAGATCGGGAACTCCGAGGATGCAGTTGCTTTCCCAAAGCCGTAGCAGTCAGACGAGTCATGTTTTGCTTTGCCGGTTTAGAGCTTTAGGGGTTTTAGGGTTTAGGGTAGTCATCAAGTCCGGTTTCAAAAAGGGGTTTAGGGGTGTCTGGTTTTGCAGGGATTGGCCACAAAACAGCTAGGGCTTGACGCACGGTCAATGCATCAACCTTTTTCTGTGTTCTTCGAGTTTGTTTGCGTACCTATCTGCGCAGCTATTGTGGGATCTCATCCGCCTCCAGGAACCAGGCTATTGATTGTGCTCTAATAGCTGAAAATTTCCCATGTAGGCCTATGAAGCCTCAACCCGGTACTTGGCATCAGGTGGCACAGGCTGGAGCATGCACAGTGGTTCACCACATGGCGCAATTTATGCATGCATACATAATCATACATACCTCGGAACTGTGAAGCATGAACCTCATCGGCAAGTCCCAGTGGACCCTAAACCCCAAAATCCTAAACCTTAAACCCTCCTGTACTTTGTTACCATTACCCAGAGGCCTGAGCGGTTGGACGGCGAGTTTCCCCTTTGCCCTTGCTGACTGCACCCATGTGAGGTCTCCGGCGTGTCCAACCCCTATCCCAATCCTCTGCCAGGAGCGCCGGAAACGTTGCAAGCCGGGAGAATTCGAGACAGCCTGCCGAGAGCGCCATGAGGAGATGAGAAAGGCTGATGCGTCGCGGTTGAGGGTATATCAGGGTTCTATGATATCGGGGCATGAATAGAATTGAATAGTGCGCTTTTCGCACTTGCTGGCATGGGGAGGTCTACGAGTCTGCTATGTGGAATGATTCAGAGCAGCGTCCCAGCCCCAGCTTCGCACGTTCTTACAGAGCTTTCAGCCTTGTTTGTGCTTGCAACATAAGGCTGGCTGCGCAAAGTGAGCGGAGACGGAACATCTGCGGACAAAGTGGCAGCTCTGACCATGCTCATCCAGTTGTGCCCAGTGTTTTCGACACTCTGTTGCGATGGCTTACGGCCTTAATCTCGTTGACCATAGTATCCCGGATTAATCTTTGTACATCCGCTGACAACGAGTTGGTGTTGTTGTTATTTTTTGCGCTGCTGCCGCTGACCGTTATGTTACATCAGCTCTACTCATGTACCACCCTGGCTTCATGGAAACCCTACGCCCTAACCGCCTATAGAGGGAACAAAAACCTATAAAGCTCTAAAGCCCGAAAACCAAACCCCTAAAACCAATCCCTAAACCCTATAAACCGTGCAAAAGCTGAGGACCGGCTACATCAAGGCCTTGCTGACGATGGCCAGCAAGACGGCGCGAAGTGACTCCGCCATGGCTATGGATGCACTAAAAGTCTCCCGTCTGCAATTCAGGGTTTAGCATCTTGCTGAACAGGATCAGAGATTGGGTTCAAGGGGTTAAGGGTTCAGGAGTTCAGGGTTTAGGCTTTGGGAGATCCCGGGCGACGACGCAAGCCCGCTGCAAAAGG